TATATATGCCAACTGCAGCATAGTTTGTGCATATTGACCAAAAGTATACATAGTTTTGGTAGTATTATTTCTTTTATCACTCCACAAACACACACACACACACACACAACCTCAAATCATCAAACCTACATTAAATATTATTAGTTTGATTACTTTGATTATTAGTTGAGTAGCCATTTAATATGCAAGTAAGATACAGTACAGCAGGGCAATGTAAAATTTTACATTTGAGGTTTTGATCACCCATTTGGGACTTATTTTGCAATAATGACTTGCTGTATTTTCTCTACTTATTTATTCATTTTTAAGGCCATGAAAACGCTTTGTCGCTTTGACTTTTTACATTTAAAGTTTACAAACGAAGGCATTTTCTGTTATTTTGGATCATCAGTAGGATATTAAAAGTTTTGTAATCGCTACCATACGATTGTGTTAAAATTTCAAAGCGGTGACACAGTGAGACTGAAGATTACATGTCAAGCGCTTGCCATTTGCCTGTTTTAGAGAAGACTGCACTTGGTCGACCACATCAATTCAGATGACACAGCACTCGCTGTATCCTCTCAAACAATGATAGTAAAGAGAGCTAAGCACCAGCGCACCAGACTATTTACTTAATTAGGGTGATCAGTCTTATCTGAAGTGTATCAGAGGGAAGTAATGAAGGATTGATTTAATACATAACTCACTCCAGCTCGCCTTGAGCCTGACTCGAGGGCTGTACAGAGCTGTTTGAACCAGGATTAGCCTTCCTGTCAGCAGAGAAGACCTTTCCCTTCTAGTTATCAATAACCTTGCTAGTATAGCCTGATCTACCACTTTATTCATTATTGGCAGGAAATTTATGATGGATTAGCTGTCAGGAATATTGTTTGGCAAGAGATCTGATATTTAATGAGTATTTTGCAGGTTTCGAGGTTAATTAATTCCTGTAGCTTTGAAAAAAGAAATCTTGTAAAATTACTTTGGATTAAAAGATCCCTACATGGAAGTGGGAAGGTATTAAGAGAGAATTCCTACTGTCTGCCTCTGAAACAAATCTGCACTCTGAATGATCAAATAATCATCCATGTTGCCGAGTGAAAAGTTGAAAAGGGAGCTGAGAAAAACAACTTTGTATGGAGATGCTATTTGATATGATTAGATAATGTGATGATAGTGTCATCTAACCTAGATTGTTTTCCGGCAGATATGGATGGATCTCCTGTGTTCATTCTTGGAACGGTTCTCTACAAGACTCTTGGTCTTATGCTGCCTGCTCCTCGGTAAGACTCTCCAGTCATTTAGATTAAATATTACAAAGATATCATAATGATATTATAGAGGAGAGATTCCCAACCAAGGATACTTGTACCCTAGGGACTACTTACGTAAGAAGGTTCCTACTTGGAAAGATTTTGATGTATTAAACCTGTAAAATAGAAAAATGACTTGATTAAAATAACTTATCAGGAGTAATTTTATTAAAGTTTCCTTTTAGAAAAAGAAAATCAAATAATGTGTGTAATGTGTGCAAGTTTATGAATTTATGACACCCGTAGAATATATTTGTTACTTTGTGAGTCAGATTTTTTTTTTCACTATCAATTATTTATTTTTCTTTAAGTGACTAAAAATTAACACTAAAAATGGGTACATTTTTGAAATTATATGATATTTTAAAATATATTTTACTTATGGAAGAAAAACTACTTATGGTCGTTCCATTTTTGAATTTGCTGCCCCATATGATTGGAATGTACTACAAAAGTTATTGAAACTAGAGACAAAAATTCCAGTATGTGCATTTACAAAAAATTACTAGTAAGTGCTCTGACCTCGACTTGTAAAGGTTTTAACTGAGATTTTATTCTTTTTTATGTGCTTTATGTATTGTAATATATGTTTATATGTTTCACAGGAGATATTAATTCTCCTGCCAGGCTGTTATTGAAAATAAGAACTTGTTCTTAATTAACTTACCTGGTTAAATAAAGGTCAAATAAAAATAAGAGTACTTTTTAATATATTTTTAAATCAGAAAATTGCCTGTGCAAAAAAAAAGTGGTTTAAACTTCACTGTTAATGAATGTATAAGGGTTTTCATAAATTGGATGCAGCAAATATGCAAGACTGATGGGGATTAAAATGTAAAAAAAAAAAAAAATCAATAATTGAAACTTTCATGCTGATTTGTTGATACTTGTCCTTTTTCATTTTTATGTATTCTTGTCATATATATGCAGTCATAAACATTTAAGTTTTAAAGTTTTAAACATAACGTTTTTTTCTGTATTTTTTTAGCATAGGAATTATGCTGCATTCATGTTGGAATTACTGTCATTTCGATTTTCAAACAATCATTACAAGTTTTATCTTAGAAAGCTAAGATTTCTCTGTGTTTTTACTGTATGATATCATTTAACAAAAATGACAGCAGCCTCAACAGTTAAAGGTATTTCGGTTTATATTATATCTTGTTACATGGTGCTCTTTCTTTGATTTTAACTAATATAGTGATAGATTGTGCTGGATGGCTTGATTTGGCGTCATAGATGTTGCCATAGAAACGAATCATTTCTGTGTCTGAGGATGTGAACTACTCAAAGTAGAATCTCTGAGTTATCATCTCGTAATTTCTGCAGTTTCACAATGACATAATTGCAGCATTATTCCAAGCCTCACAGGTCAGGTGCAGTCATTGTTTATTATGGTGCTAATAAGGAATTTGTCCTTGTATGAAGCTCAATCATGTGACTAATGTATTAAAGCCCAGTGACAAATACTGTAAACGCAAAAAACACAATCATTTGTTTTTAAGGAAGCTGTTTCTTCAAATTCCTTGTGATTTTCCTCTAGTCCTAAATACAGAAGCTGGTACAACAAACTACAGTGTTTTCACTCCCAGCCTAAATGTCAGAATGAAAATTCTTGGTTATTCTCAGAGTCCATCTTGAAGCTCGGGATCAAAACCTTCTGTTCCATCTGAGGACTTCTACTTGAACCTCCAGAGACACACAGGACAGAACAGACCTTTCCTGGTGTGGCTCTGAGCTGTCAGTCTGATTCCTCCGTGGAATTCCCACTGACAGGGAGAGAGTTCATGGAAGAACAGAGAAAAAGGGCGGTCCTCTGTTCTTGAGCTCTGTTGGATTCACTGAAGCCAGTAGGGAGATGGAGATCAGTACAAACAGTAGAAGATAACAGAAGAAAAGTGTTACAAAGAAACAAGCAAACAAAAACAATGCAACATAGCAGAGGGATTTGTAAAGACAGATCATGTTGTTGAACATTTAATCACAAGACAAAATATTCTGTTGATCATACTATGAGAATCATCAGTGTATAAACTCCATGGATCCTTGTTTTTAGTGTGAATAGTTACAAGAAATGTGTGTGGTTTTTTTTTAATTATTATTATTTTGGAAAAAATTATATTAGGATTTTTATCCTTATGTGGAAATTTATACCAGAACGTCCAAACTGTTTCCTCCATGGATCCTTGTTTTTAGTGTGAATAGTTACAAGAAATGTGTGTGGGTTTTTTTTATTATTATTATTTTGGAAAAAATTATATTAGGATTTTTATCCTTATGTGGAAATTTATACCAGAACGTCCAAACTGTTTCTTTTTTCGTCTTCATATAATGAAAATAATTAGTCACTATGGCTTTCAGATACACTGAGAAAATAAATTGGTGTAGAAACAATTTTCACCCAGAAATTGCTAATAAATGTAGACATCTGTAAAACATACTCCAGTAATCTTCCAATAATCTGTTTTATTTACAGCTCAGAACAATAATGTTTACAGTGTAAGATTTTCAATTAATTTAATTTTCAGTCATTTGTATACCTTCAATATATTGGAATATAGTGTGCAAATGTAGTTATATGGACCACTTTAATAATACCTTTATGGTGCTGTTTATCTTTTGGAGCTTCACAGCCCCTGGTCGCATTTACTTTCATTATATGGTAAAAATCTTGAACATTTTGTTCAAAATCTTTTTTTGTGTTCTAGAGGGGTGTTGTTGCTAGACCCTTTTTACTGGGGCACAACCCCCAGTAAAATACTATAGCTCAGTAAAATGTTACAGATAAATTATGTGTCAGATTGACGTATACCAACCTGAGAATCATTTTCTCTGATAATATTTCATGTGTGTTAAATCAAATTTGATCAAGTATGTCAGCTGTTTAAAATCCGAACTCAAACAGCTTTGTAAAAAGGTCTGAAATGGTTGACGATTCAGTTTGATTCATTCGTACAGTTTACTCATGAACTGAATTGTTTGTGGTGTTTTTTTCACAATGCAATAATAACAAAATAATAAGACAGAAAACAAAAAGAGCACTGAGTGAATATTTACCTACAGTCCATTGTAGGAAACAAAACTGTCTTCTACAACAATGACAATGCAGCTCTTTTTTTGCACATGCAGCTTGTGAACAGCTTGTAAAAGACTGTATATCCATTTATATCCAAAACAGTATTTAAAAGGATAATATCAAAATATGGGCTCACTTTTTTTGATAGTGGGCCTGTGCCCCAATACTGATGAAACGCTAGAAATGTCCCTGGTGTTCCATGATGACATGATGAAGTACATAATTACATAATTTTAATTTTTTTATAAGCTTCCCCTTTAAGAGTCTTGTGTTATTTCATGCCTTTCAGGCTGTGTGGACATTCATGACACCATGCAGCACCACTTCTGCTTGATTAAATCAAACTAAGAGGCTGGCTAACCATGCACGGATAATGTCTTTGATCCAATCTGTACATTTATTTCAAAAGGAATAATTTTTGCCTTTAGGCTGATCTACTTACAGACAAAGACACATTTATTTTCCATGGCAACGTCTTCTCAATTCATATGCATTCTGAATATTATAATCAAAAATACAAAGAGTGTGACAGACTGTAAAATAATGTGAGGAGTATATGTCTCAGATGTAGCATCTTTGTCATTGCTTTTAGAAAATCTTTTTTCACTGCAGACTTTTGAGAAGCTACTTGTTGGGCATCCATTTTCTGTCTTTGCTTCTTTTTAAATGGACCATGAAATTATGCCCTAAACAGTTCAATTTGACAAATGGTATACAAGGAAAAAAGTTAGAGGAGGAGGAAGCATGCAAGGAGAGAGATGTTGAGTGTACTTGAATGTTAATATCAGAATGATTTTGCACCCCTGTTGCATTAGATAAGAGCACTTGAATGTTTAAAATTTATGCATAGCCAACCAATATTGGTTTTAATCATGAAATTAAAAAGTAATAAAGTACATAAAAGTACTTGGAGTAACTTTTTGGGTCTAGTGATGACAAATGACTGCTTTTCATCTCTATGTGATCGTTTTACCCAGAGGCGATCATTTCGAGTTAATCAAAAACTAAACAGATTTCAGTTTGTCAATGTTTAATATATTATAACTTTGTCCATCTTTAGAGTTGGATCTTGAATGATATTTAATTTATTTATAGTCTAATGAGTTCACCCTCTAAAAAAAGTAGTCAAGCATATCATCATTTCTGGCCTCTGCTAACAGAAAATATCTCATCTGAAGTGAAATACCAAAAATCACGTCCTCACACCGATTTTCTAAACTGAGTTCAACCTGGAAAGACAGTTCTGTGCTAAATGAGCCATTTCCATTATAATGTGCAGAATGGGGAGTTTAAACAAAAATCAATGCTGATGTTAATGGAAGTATTGCAATGAATGAAATTAGCATTTCTCATTCAAGCATGAACTGACTGTTGTGTGTGGTTTGATCTAACCCACAGGAATAACACTGCTGTGAACTCGAAAGTGATTGCTGTGACTGTACGACCAGAACCCAGGGTTACAGAAGCCCAGCTGGAGATTGAGTTAGCTCATCTAGCTAATGTAAGCACCAGTCAGATCTCAACACACTTCACAAAAACAATCCACAGAGGCTAATTAATGCTGACATGGAGGTCACATATATTTTAAAACCTCCTAGTTTTGGACTCTTTTACTGTTTCATTGGTCTGTTGGTTTAAGGAGCATATGCCATTTATTTTACACAAGGGAAGGAATCTACAGACTTTATGTCCCAAAGATCCTCCATTTATGGAATATCATCAAAATCGTTTTAATAAGTCAGGTGGAAAATGACCTGCATCTTATGTGGATTGTTTTTTTTTTATTATTATTATTATTATAAAAATTACAAATACTTTTATTTATTTATTTATTTATAGTGCAAAAAAAAAAAAACTAATTGTGCAAAAAGACC